TAAATATTCTAATCATGGACGAATGGTAGACATACAGATATATAAGACAGATCTTCTTGCACGACACAGTGAACCAACTTTCTTAGACGCTGACATAGCAATGGATTCAATATGGTATTTCCACTTCATGTCAGCCCAAGAAGGTGCAACGAATCACTTTCCTGGAAGTAAATAACAGCGATGCTTATGGAAAGCACAAAGGGCTCTCTCAGATGATTAATATACACCATTTAACAAACCGAGGTTTATTTTGGACATCAGCTTCCAATTTGTCATTATCGAAATGATAAGACTTACTATCGAAAAAGAAGTAAATGGTTGTGTCATATATCATTATATATATATATATATATACATAAAAGGTTAATTGTCAGAGTTGAATTAGACCAGGAAACAGTAGTATTACAAAGAGCCTGATACACGTGTGAAAAAAATACAAATATGAAAAATCATGTAAAGCTTTAAATTTTAAAAATTAGGAGATCAGGTAGCAGGAATGAACTGAGCCCTAAGTTTTTCAATTATATATATATATATATATATATATATATATATATATATATATATATATATATATATACTGAACTGTACTGTACTGTACTGATGGGGCGGATTGAGCCGGCTTCTTCCTGTTATGAGAAGAAGATTCTTGGGATAAATTACAGAAGTCGGGTACCCAGGCCTACTCGGATAACGTTCTTGCTTGCCGAGGGCTTCCCACAGACGCAGAGACAGGAACGACCAGAAGCCGCCGGTTACCGATGCAGACGCGCCTTGGATTTATATATATATATATATATATATATATATATATATATATATATATATATATATATATATATGTGTGTGTGTGTGTGTGTGTGCGTGTAGGGTGGGTTCCTCACAACAAAAGGGCAATAGAATCATATGCCCTCAAGTCATTCATTCTTGATTGATTAAATTTAAACAAAGTGTACGGTAAATGACGCTGTGTTGCCATTTAGACGAGGTTACATTTGCCATTCGTGTATCTTTGTGGCTAATCTGTCTTCAAAGTTTAATATCTGTAGTAGTGAGTTAACTGAAATGTGTCCCGTTTAGCAATGCCAGGATATTCATACCGTATGCAGAGAGATATGATTTATACATATGGCCAGGCAAATGGTAATGGATACTAGGTTGCACGGCTGTATCAAATTGCGTTTCCTGTCCTAAGGCAGCCGAATTGTCTAAACTTTGCTGGTGTTTATCATGGCTGAGACAGGATCCGTGGCTCCACACACTATGGTTCGAGGAAAACCGAGATCCTCTTGTAGGCCTAACAACGAAGAATACATTTTATAGGCTGCCGAAGACGATTCCAGTATCAGTACACGCCAAGTGGCCCTAGCATGTCGTTCATTTCATATTATCGCATGGACGGTACTTCAAGAGCAGCTCCTCTATACGTATCATTTGCAAAGTGTGCAGGATCTTTCGCATTCTGATTATTCATCACGGGAGGACTTTTGCCAGTGGTTTATTGCACAAACTTCCGATCCGTTGAATGTCTTTTGAGATTTGAAAGAGATGGTATAACAAATTTACGCAATCAATATTTCTGAGCGGATCGGAATCTCCATGGTATAATAAAAGCTAGATATCAGCATCAGTTTACGATTAATCTGTGGGCTGGAATTGTATGTGCTCTCCAACACATCACAGAGGAGCTGGTTACACAGACTCTATTTAGAGACCCGCAAGTGGATGTATCCCTGCTAATGCGAAAATGCATGTAGTTCATGCATGATGAGTTTCCCGCACACTTTGGTCACATTGTTCGCGATACACTGCCTAACATCTGCCATGAAAGATGGTTAGGTACCAGAGTGCCGGTTTCATGGCCTTCGCGTTTCCCGACCTCAGGAGCAAACAATTATCTGGAACATATTTCTGGTAGCCCTGAAATATATGAATTATAAAAAAAAATGGGTACATCTCACAACTTGAGTATGTTTCTCTCTATGCAGCGGCCATAATTACATTTTTTTTTCTCTTTGACTGCTTGCCAATTCATTTGTTTCCATTTTCTGTTGTCATTTGAAGTCTCTAATTGAGATGCGGGAGAAACGTATAATGCAATGGCAAAACATGACAATAATAATAAATTGAATTGAAGGGATTCCTGGAAGTCCATGCCTCAAGGAGATACAAAAAATTGTTCTGACAAGTACAGTCCACACCTTACGAAGGGCTTTATCTATGTAATTTAATTCTTTTTTTTTTTTTTTTTTTTCTTCAGTGGAAAGTGTCATGACGCCATTTCTAACCTTTGATCCCTGGGCGGGGCCCGGAAAGAAATGTGTAAACGCCAGAAATCAAAGAAAATAATAATAATAATAATAATAATAATAATCTCTCTATCTGTATCTACAGGGTGCGATGGATGAAAATAACATCTCATTTTAACAGATATATTTACCAACATTACACAAAAAATATCTGAAAATAATACAGAGTAAATTCATTCAATAAAATCGCCATTAGCTTCAACCATGGCCTTCAAACGATTTCGAAATTTCCTGCATCTCTACTGGATGATCTCCTTGTTTAAGTTGCTGAATGCTGTCATAATCCTTGCTTAGGTATTATTAAGTAGTTTTATTGGTCTCTCGTTCAATTGCACCCCACACTTAAAAAACAAGGCGGTTGCAGTCTGGGGAGTTATGTGGCCAGATGTAAGGAGTCATGTGGTCGTAGAAGTTGTCTGACAGTCATGACTGGGTTCTCCTGCTTGTGTAGGATTGCTGCCAGAAATAGTGTCTTTTACCAACCATCCTCTGGACTCGGGGCAGCGCTACTTCCTCAAGGCACTCGATGTTGGCTTCCGTGTTGAATCTGAGGCCCTCACTAGTGATCACTTCAAAACCCTTCGTAATCACCATTAAACTCATCGAACTCTTTCCTAATCCTCTGCGCTGTCCTCAGATTGACAAGCAAACACTCTGAAATCTTCACATTGGAGCTTCAGGTGGGAATGCCATGCAGTACACCAAATCTTGTCCAAATTTCTGGCGGAATTAATTACATCATGGTGCTATACGAGGCAGTCAACAAAATTAAAAACAAATAACGGGAAAGCGCGTAATAAAAAATATAAAATGGCGACAGTTTACACCTCTCATTATTTATTTACCTATGCATGTAGATTAGGATTAGGATTTTTGGTATCCCTATGGTTTTTGCGTCATAAATCGATTAAGTAATGAAAAAGGTAGTAATTTATTTTAATTCTTGAAAAAGTTCACCACCCAAAGTACAAGTTTGATTTAATCATATATGAAATTAGGGTAAAATACCAAAATACCTCAGAAGCATTATTTTTCAATTTGCTAATGATATAATTTAATGGTACTTATGTATTTTAACGTATTTAACAGATTATTGTGAAAGATTAACAGAAAAACTTACAAAAACGTTCTAGAATGTTCCATAAAGTTATAGAGGGCTTCAGAATGTGCTAGAAGGTTCCAAAAAGTTCTCGAAGGCTCCAGAAACTCAAAGTACTACTATACTTATATATGATTTTAGACATTTCGTGTTGGAGGTGACATTTAAAAAAGATAAACTGAATTAAACCATTCTTGATTATTTTTTAACAAAAGTTCATCGAATTATGGAACAGGTAATTAATTGTTTTGCAAAAAGCCATAACCTTAATGTAGATATAGTAGGGTGATGAACGAAATTCGAGAGATATAAACCATCTAAATGCATCTTAAGAGATAATGTTAAAACACGTAATTTTCGGACATACCTCTGTCCTTTTTTTTTTAACGAGAAATAAAATAATGTTGGAATTTTGCGAAGGAATTTGTTTTTGTTTTTTAGCCAATGTATCATATTGCTGATTATATATACCAGTTGCTACGATTGCTATCTATCTATCTATCTATCTATCTATCTATATATATATATATATATATATATATAATTATTTTTTATAAAAAAATTATAACATAAGTATGTGATAAAATCACTACAAAAATAGCCATTTTGTTTCAACACACTCTGTGTCTTATCAAGTGATGATGTTGAAGATAAAATAAATGGTTTTAAAAGTTTCAGATTAATTAACGATCCTACACTAGGGGGAAACATTGTTACAAAAGCTAGAATAACCAATCAAAAACGAAGTATAGAAAGATTCAAAAGCTTGACAACGAAATCATGCTATAATGGCTTTTCAGATCTTTAAATACGTGTAATATTAAAAATAATTTATACTAACTAATAATTATAAAATTATCTGAAACTTTTAAAACCATTTATTTTATTTTCAACATCATCACTTGATAAGACACAGAGTGTGTTGAAACAAAATGGCTATTTTTGTAGTGATTTTATAACATACTTATGTTATAATTTTTTATAAAAATAATTATATCTGCTCTACTTTGTATTGAGCACTCTTTTAAGAATAGTAATTGTTTGTTATTGGAATTCATTCCGTATATACCAATTATATACTTTGAAATATATATATATATATATATATATATATATATATATATATATATATATATATATATATAAATTCCGTTTATTTAGTATGTAGTCGAAACATAAGTCTCTTTTGCGATGAAACACCAAATGTATCAGGAGCAGCTTCGGCGTGCACCACTAACTGGGGTGAATCAGACGACAGAAATTGGGAGACTGGGCGACAAGGTCAGTAAACGATAAACAAGCACTTCGACACCTATCTATGGAATTCGTGTGCCTCCCTATCGTGTAATGGTTATTAGCGAACAGTTTCGTCAAATCATTACGGTTCGATCATCAGTAATTGCCTTGCTTACAACTGTAAAATACCTGGGACGAGGTGAATTGATTAATAGGTGGCTGGATATAGACACAGACATTTATCTATATGTATAATAAAAGAAAGAACATCACCGATTCTAGTGAGTGGGTGGGTGCTAGGCAGCGTAAATACGAAATTTCCTATGTCGGAATTTAAATAGCTAAAAACATGTAACTAAGTATCGATAGATAGATAGATAGATAGATAGATAGATAGATAGATAGATAGATAGATAGATAAATAGATAGATAGATAGAGTGAGAATGATATAAATAGGATATATAAATATATATATATATATACATAGAGAGAGAGAGAAAGAGAGAGAAATCGAGATAGATATATAGATAGATAAATAGAGAGTTATGAACAGAGAGCCATATATATATTAACATAATTATATAGATAACTAGTGATGTAATCGTACGATATATATCTATATGTCTTGAACAATAAAAAAATGCTTAAAATTAAAATTTCACACACACTGGGATGTATGTTAATATTATTATTTTATTTTTAAATTAGCTTTCTCGATTAAATTCGGCCAGCATATGGCAATCACCAGGAGAAAAAAAAATAATTCCTGTTTGTTAGTAGCAGTGAACTACAGGGGTGAATGACTGTCTCTGAAGAAAGTCGACTTTACCTTCAGTTTTGATTTGTTTTTTTATTTATCGTTACTTTTTGATTGGTCCTTGTATTGGTCAAAGGCGATTTCAAGATTTTTAATGAGAAAATGGGAGACTCAGACTTACCTTCTTGGTCATTTTGACAGATTTATTGGTTGCTGAGAGGGGGATGGGGGTGTTATATATATATATATATATATATATATATATATATATATGCGTGTGTAAATAGATAGATAGATATGACTAGATCGAGATAAACATGACTAGAACGATATAGATTGCTATATAAATAGTGATGTAGACGGCATATATATATGTGTGTGTGTGTGCGCGTGTGTAAATAGATAGATAGATAGATATGACTAGATCGAAATAAACATGACTAGAACGATATAGATTGCTATATAAATAGTGATGTAGACGGCAGATATATATATATATATATATATATATATGAGAGAATATATAATATATATATATATATGTTATATATATATATATGGTTATATATGGTTATATATATATATATATATATATATATATATATATATATATATATATAACTGAGACTGAGATAAATATGACTTGAACGAGATAGATTGCTATATAAATAGTGATGTAGACGGCATATATATATATATATATATATATATATATATATATATATATATATATATATATATATATATATAAAAGGAAAGATGTCTAGATAGGCAGATATTTATGATCAGATTGACGGATATATATATGAACATAATTATAAAATACATAAAGATGTAGTCGTAAGATGTATATATATATATATATATCTTACAATTGCATATATATGCGTGAGTGTCTGATACATTTGTCAGGAGTAATCTCGAATTTTATTTATAATATTAACTATAATATTATCGCATGTAGAATTCTTTTGATTTCCTGAAAGGTGAATATAGGTAAGGAAAGCTAACACTCAACAAAATAAATAAGAAATTAAAAAAAAAGAAAGATGTATTACGTAGTTTTTCGTTTTCCTTATATTACTTATATATATGCGATGTTCTAATCTTGCGACGATTATTAATCAGTTTTAAAATTCTGCTTTTTAGATAAAGTATTATTATTATTATTATTATTATTGGACATTGGTATAAACATAACCTTGAACCAGTCATCGAATTCAGTGAAGACCTTGTACTTTCTCACTTTGTTATTCAAATTGACAGACATGTAAAGTCTAATAAAGCAGACATAACGTTAAAGGAGAAAAATGTTACATATTTCTCTCTCTCACATTATTCACCCTATCTCTTTCTCTTTGGCTCTTTGTCTGTCTGTCTGTCTATCTGTCTCTCTCTCCATATATATATATATATATATATATATATATATATGTGTGTTTGTGTGTGTGCAGGTATGTAGAAAAATAGGAAAGAACACGTTAGGTAAATAATCCAGGGTTCTTTAGTATTTTTGTTTTTATTTTTAAAAAACAGTGCTCCATACAGAAGTAGAGCTTAGATTATAATTATTTTTTTTAAATGCGATTCCTTCGCCGGAATCCAGCGAAGGAATCATATTTTTTTTAAAATAATTATAATATATATATGTATATATGTCTGTGTGTGTGTGTGTGTGTGTAAAAATAAATAGAAAATAGGAAATAACTCGTTAGGTAAATAATCCAAAATGAATATACTTATAAAACGCGTAAATTTCAGAATTAAGTTATTCCCAAAAACATTTCGCTTGAAGATGGAACAGAGCTTGGTACTTGTTTTGGCTCTTGTTTTGAAACATGAGAACTCTTATGTAGCATTGGAATCATATTTTAAATAATTATATATATATATATATATATATATATATATATATATATATATATATATATATATATAAAAACAAAGAGTGGGTAAACAAATATTCCTACACACATTTTTAATTTATTCTATTTACAACTAACTATATATTAACTGTACATAGATGTATAATAACTAAATATGCATAAAAAACAGAAAAAAAAATTGATTTAATAAAAATACTTTTTAATGTGTGAAAAAAATATTTGTACAATGCAAATTTCATATTTTAAAACTTTTAAATTGCTTTAATACTCTTGGTTATTCAAGGGGAATATTCTAGAATCTTCCAATAATGTTAGGAGTTGTTATTTTTAGCCTAAACATTACAAACAGAACATTCTGTAATTGATATTATGTGTAAGAAAGTTATCACTATGTCAAAAGGTTAAGAATTGACAACTTCGTAAAAAGGACTGGTTGGTAAGGTGTGGGAAGAAGGTAGAAATTACAGGAAAATCTCAGACAACCTGAATATTTTATTTACTACCATTAGTTCATTCAAGGCGGGGTATAAAAAACCAAAGAAGAAGAAGAAGTACTCGACGGAAGATTTCTTCAAGATCTTCGAGGAAATTAATGCGTCATATTCAACAAAAGTCCAATGCTTACTCGTCAAGTGTTGCAGGATGATTTCTTTTTATCAGTGTCACTAAACGGAAAAATAAGCAATGAAATTCATAGCAACAATCTAACAGACGTAATTCTAGAAATCATGTATGGAAGAAAGATGGCGATGCCTTCAAACAAAAGAACACAGTTCCAACATTGGAATTTGGTGGTGGTAGCATCATGGTTTGGTGATTTTTTTTTTTTTTTTGCAAAAGTTAGTGGCAACATATTAAGAGATGGTAGAATGAATGCCGCATTATAGCAAAATATTTAGGAAGCAAATTTAATGATTTCGGTTGAAAATCTTGAACTTCCTTCTGATTAGATCTTCCAATAAGATAATGATCCTAAGCACACTGCAAAATCTACGAAGAAATGGTTTGCTAAAAATAACGGAAATATCCTGAAATGGCCAAGTCAGTCCCCAGATTTAAACTCAATCGGGAATCGGTGGCGTTCAAATCCAATCGAGAGCTCCAACAAACATCCCGGATTTGAAGACCATATACGGAGAAGAATGGAACAAAATAGCAACTAAAATTTTCAAATCATTAATTCGGGTTGGTTTCTGTAGAAGTGCATAATGGCTATACTAAAAGTATTTTACTGAAAATTGTACATTCTTTTTTATATGGTAAAATAATTTTCTCACCCATTAAAAAGGATAAATTTGATTTATTTATATGAAATCAAAATTGTTTCTGTTTTCTATGCATATTAATTATTAAGTATTTGCATACAGTTAATTACATGAAAAGTATGTTTATTCATTAGTTGAAAATATAATAAATTAAAGAATTGTATGTGTACTAATATTTGTTCCACACCCCCACTGTATATGTATGTGGGTGTATCAAAATACTTTTACAAAATTTGGGGGTCTGGTTCCTCACACCAAGACTCCATATAAGCATATGCCCGCAAATCCTTTCTTTTTGAGTTATTAATTAAAGTTAACAGTAGATAGCGCTGTTTTGCCATATAGACGAGGTTACATTTGTCATTCGTGTACATTTGTAGCAAGTCTGTCTTCAAAGTTCAAAGTGTGTAGCAGTGAGTTAACTGAAAAATGCTCCGTTTAACAATGGCAGGATATTCATATCGTTTGTAGGCAGATAGGACTTTTACACACGGCCGCGCGAAGGGTAATGGATAGGAGGCTGTATCAGATTGGCAGCCGAGTCATCCAACCTTTGCTGAGACAGGATACGTGGCTCCACAAAGTATGGCTCGAGGATGACCGAGATCAGCCTATACGCCTGACCATGAAGAACACATTCTGTCATGCTGTCGGAGACGATCCAGGTATTAGCACACGTCAAGTGGCCCTAGCATGTCTTACATCTCATAGTACTGCATCGAGGATTCTTCAAATGCAGCTCCTGTGTTCGTATCATTTGAAATGTGTGCAAGGTGTTTCACCCTCTGATCACTCACCACGAGAGAACTCTTGCCGATGAATTGTCGTTCCTTTCTATCTTCAGTCCTGTTTACGGATAAAGCAACATTTGGAAGAGATGAAATAAAAACCCCATGGTTCAATACAGACTAGACACCAGCATCAGATTAATATTAATGTGTGCTGGAATTCTGATTGACTTTCTGTTACGTCCATATGTTCTCCTGGAACGTCTTACAGGAGTTGCCTGCAGGGATTTTATTTCGAACACACTTCGAGTCCTGCTGGAGGACGTAGTACTGCTAAAATGAAGTCCCATGTAGTCCATGCATTATGGGTCTCGAGCACATATCAGCCTGTGATGCACTGGCTGATGTCTATCAAGAAAGGTGTATATTCAGGAGAGGATCAGTCCTATGGCCTGAACTTTCCCACAACCTCAGTCCTTTGGATTTTTATCTGTTGTGCCACCGAAAACAATTGCTTTAACAGCAATTAACAATGGAGAGACTCTTTATCAACGTGTCATGGAGGTCAGCGAAACCATTCGACAATGTGTGGGAGTATTTCAAAAGGTCCGCCAGTCAATGATCCGACGGGTGCATGCGTGTTTAGAAGCAAGCGGAGGACAATTTGAACATTAGTAATGAGTTGCTGTTTTGAGGTACCACAATGAACTTTTGGATTTATGTTTATATGGACATTTTACCTTGTTTTGGTGGCAGAAACCTGCGGCCTGATGATTGCGTCCAGCATGAAACAGCCTGTCGCCTCAGTGTATTGACTTCAATGTTCACTTTTATATTTATATACGCTCTATCTCTGATATTGACCGCTTTATCCCATACATATAACACTCCTTAAAACTATATTTCTTCGTATATATATATATATATATATATATAGAG